GGGCTAAGCAATGTAACCCATGCTGAAAAACATTGCATAACAAGTTGATTCTACAGCAAATTATTTGGTGCTTCTAAATTGATACTGTCATCTGTTTTTTCATGGGATGGTTAGTTCTTCTCGTGTAGAATGCTGTGCTAAATTTATACTCGTATGCGGATAGTCCCAGCAGAATTCACTGTAAGATTGGTGCAGCTCGCAACTTTAAACACGTGAACTTATTGTTTAATTTTAGGCTTAGGACGTTGTGGATGCCCATTGAAGTGGCAGAGAACAAATTTAGATCATGAGCTGCTGAGCTAGTTAAGAGACTTGATCTTGAGACTGGTGGTCAAATCTTACCTAAGTGTTATATCTTATTACTTTGAGGATCCAAGAGAATGGTTTCACAGACGTACCATACAAGAATTTACAAGAAGCATTAGCAATCTTGTCATTTTCTTTGGGGATTAATGAAAGAGCCATTTGATAGAGTTTTAGTTCTTAGTAAAAGAGAGCTACCACTGTTCTTTGAGAAAAAAGGAGGGGAGGGAGGGAGATATTCGTATTACCAAAATCCACTTTAGTCTTAGTTTTATCTGACAAAATCATTCTTTTCTTTGTGGATGAACCAACATAGCCTTTTGGAAATAATGTGCTTTTCGAGAAACTCAAAAGAACTGCTTCACCAATATCTCATTTATGCTTGAATGCCCTTAAACCATTTTCCCTTTTGCTTTTTTCAAATTTATTGTGGGAGCAAGGGAAAAGTGGGGATGGGCAAGTTTAGGTAGGTCAATTGTTGCATGGAATTGGAGAGAAGAAATGTCAATCTTTCATTTTCTTTTCTGATGGGAGTTTCCTTTTCCGGTGTTTTGTTTAAAAATAAAATTATTTACGAAGGGATTTTCGATTGTTCCCCAAAGAAAAATGGTTTTGCTATATGGAAGTCAAAATGAGACAGGTTTATCTAATTTTTCTGATAACGGTGATGTCCGAACCAGCTTGAGCACATATGTTTCTCTAAAATTTTTTTGAGAATGGTTAGGAACATAGATTTCTCTAAATTCAAAAGCATATGGTCAAGAGTTATTGCTTTGGACTCTTCTGGAGGTCTAAATGTCCAAATTTCTCACGCCCCTACTTCTAACTTCAACAGTAATTGGCTAAATTGATCTCTCCATCATTCTATTCTCGTCTTGAATCTCGCTTCTTTTTTTTTTTCAAAAAATTTCTTTTAGCAATTTATATTCGAAGTGAACCAGAAGAAATCTCAGTTAAACATAACATCAAGTTGTATCACAAGTTTTGATATCAATATGTCGCATTTCTAGCTCTATATGAAGTGCCAACACCTTCAGAAGGGGGTAGATTTAATTTCAGTTTCCTAGAGAATCTTTTCTTTTTTGGGCATCCTAGGTGCTCTTGAATTTTAATGAGGGAAAGGCTGGAAAAAGGAAACTGCTATCATGTATTTTTAGGTGAAAGTAATTCCCTTCTCCACCTTTCTTGTTGCTGTTGACGACTTTGGTCATCTTTAACCTTTTAACTTCTCGGAGACTTGGAGTAGGTTTTCACTTTTTCCCTTCTTGCCTATTTTATCAGTGCTATGGTTCAGACAGAAGTTTCTGATATATTTCTTATATAGTTACTGTACAAAGCAACTTCTAACTTCTACTGAACATCCATACAGCTCTAGAAAAAATACAAGTCATTCCATGACAGACAGCTTCTCTATTTGATTTTCTTGATATTTATATGACCCTTCCCCTTTCTTCGATCACCCCTCTAACAAGAAAGAAAAAAAGTTCTTACTTATCGTAAACAACTGTTCATAATGATCAAAAGAGTCATGAACGAGGCTGATTTCGAGAGATAGATAAAAGATGCTTTCTAGATGAGCTGGTTGCATTGAGTGGTTTAATTAGAGTCTACAGGAAGATGGTTGAAATATAGCCTTCCTTCTCAGTTAATATGTTTTACTTGGGCATATCTTTCCTTTTCATGTCATGTTTCTGCTTTCTCCATTGTGATGGCAACTGGTGAACTCTTCTCGTGTTCTTGTATCAGCTTCTAAGCCTTTTGATTCTATAGTTTGATTGGATGTATTTGTTACTCACTCTAAAGCTTTGCTTTTTGGCAGGAGTATGAAGAAAAACTGAAAGAAAAGGGCGAACAGCCAGTTATGTTTAGGTAAAAAAAGGCCGTCCGTTTCTAATTTATGTATTTTCGATCCTCAGCCCCACCAAACCCCTAAGATCAAGAAATTACTCTCTTCTATACTTAGTTCTCTTGTCTCAACTTTCTCCAACAGTCACTTGGGCCCTCCTCGAAGGCGGACCTCTGCTGAAGAGGAAGAAATGGTCAAGCATCCAAAACCTGAAGTAAGTTTTCACTTAACTCCTACATTTATGTGGAATTAGCTAGTGCTGATCTGTGAATCACAGCTGGAAATATGTGGTTGCAGGACTCAGTCTACTATCACCCTACTCTAAATCCAACTGGAGCTCCTCCTCCTGGAAAACCTCCTATGTTTAAGTCATCAATTGGTGTGTATAATTCACTTCTCTAGTGAGCTTAATGTTGCTTTCTGTGTGTGTCTCTCTGATTCTATTCATGCTTCAAACTACAGGATCTCGAGTACCATTATCTGCGGCTTCATCAAGCGGTACAGCATCATCGTTACAGTTGGATGGAGAAGATGACAGCTTATCAACTCTTCCTCCACCACCTCCACCACCTCCATTACCCCAGAGTGGTGATGCAGATTCTGTGGATGTGTCTGCGATGCCTGCATCTTTACCTTTACCTCCTCCACCTCCTATGCCCCCAAAGCCTTTGACAGAGATGAGCACTTCATTGCCACTGCCTCCTTTGCCCCCACCACCACCTGGTCCCCCACCAAAGGAACAGGTTGCTGTTCATCTTCCACTTCCTCCACCTCCCGCACCTCCCCTTCAGCCATCTTCTCAACCTCCTCCTCCTGGCACTGGTGGAAATGAAAGGGATAGAAATAACCTGGACAATCCAGCTTCCGTAGACCTAATGCAGGTAGTCTAGCCTTCTACTTCTTGTCTTCTCACTAACTTACTTAAAATATATGTTTGAGGGAGTTCCTCTTTGGAATTCATGAAGATGTATATAATGTTTATTTTCTATTGATGATATCTTCGCTTTTTCATGGGTCCACTGTGCTTGCTCAGCCTCCTCCTCCACTGGGCTTGCCATTGAAGTCAGATGGCACATCTGTTGAATCTGATGCTAAAGCTTCCTCAGAGTCAAAAGATCATGTTAGATTGCCACCGCCACCTCCGCCACCTCCAAGGCAACAGCCTTCAGTTCCTGGAGCTGCCATGGTCCCGACTTTGCATAATGATGTATTACCTCCTGGACTTCCTCGGTTCCCTCCACCCCCACCCCCGACCGACATGCGGCCACCACCTGGAATTGCCGGCCATCCTGCTCCACCTGGAGTCATGCTCTCGCTTATGCCAAGACCACCTTTCGGACCTCCTCCTGGTCCTCCACCAATGATGAGACCACCACTTCCGCCTGGTCCTCCTCCTTATCTACCAGATGGTGCCAGACCATTTGCCACTCAGAAGCCATCATATGTTAAATCAGCTGCTTCAACCGTTGTTAAGAGGCCTCTAGCTCAGCATACACCAGAACTTACAGCTATGGTTAGTTACTCTGATAACATTTCAAATTCTTGCTTATATTTAATTTTTGTGGTCTTGAACTTTCATTAGTCAAACCTCTAAATGTAGTTTTAGGCTCATTTGGTAGACTCGACTGGATTAGGTCATATTGCTTTTCCTCTGACTAGACTGCAAGAGGGAATTATGAGCTGACTCAAACCCTTTTCTATAATTTGGTGTACTAAGTATTAGATAACTTGTTGATAACTTTCTATAATTTAATCCATCACTTGGTTTAAGGCATGATTAAAACTAATATACCCAAAACATTCTTGGGCAAGTATAAGTTCTCTAAGTGCAAAATATTTGCAGTAAGTGAGATAGTTGCTCTGACTGTCCCATTAGCGATTTAGTGTCGAACTAAAAAGTAATTTGGTTTAGATATTATAGTAGTAGTAGTTGGAGAAATCATTCATATAATTGTTAGAAAGTTGATTTGACAATGGAAATATCACAATGCATTAAAATTGAATTTTTAAATGATTTCGAATTATTGAGTGATAGGAAAGATGTTTAAATTGAACTTATCTAAGGTTATCAACTTTTTTGGCTGCAAAGTAAAAGTAAATTGAGAAAGAGATGCATGGAGGATTTTTTTATCATGGCAGAAACATTCATCAGCATGATTCGTTGACGAGTTATTTTCTAATTCCAAAATCGTCAACAATGAGGCAGGCACCTAAGGGTGTGGCCTAGCCTCAAATAAAGTGGGTAAACCATGGGAGACCATGGTTCAAATCCCAATAGAGACAAAAAACTGTAGGTAATTTCCTTCCCATCTGCCTAAGCCTTAGTGAGTAGAGTGATGCAGTACGTGTGCAGTGGGAGGTAGCCGGTACACGGTGAAATAGTGAGATATTCCCTAGCTGGTTAGAACACTGTTATAAAAAACACATTAGAGTAAAGAGAAGATGGATAAACAGGAAAAATTGGAAACAACCAAAATATTAAAAAAAAAAGAAGGCACAAGTGATAAGATATAGGCATATAGCTGACATATTATGTTTTAAGAATTGCAGAAAAATAAAAGGAAACAGGAGAGGTCACTTGATCAAATCGTAACCACGGTTTTCCTGATTTGGTTAGATGGAAGCCCACCCAAGCTTTTCTCATCATTAAATGAAACCTAGCTGCAGTCTTCTTCATCGTCTATTAGCAAAATCCTAGTAGCCATTGTTAGTTAAATCTCTTCACCAATGATTGTGGGAACTGATGAGAAAGGAAAGCTCTGGATAAAGGTGTGGTATAGTGAAAGAGGGGAAGGAGGAGGACATTGGCAAAAGGAGAGTGGAATTATCCTGTTTGTTGGGTATGAAATCTTCATTTTATATGATATATGACCTGGAGAATGATCCCAACCCTCCACATGGGATAAAATAATTCCATGTATTTGAATAAATGATGCAGCTGGAGTCTTATTCAGAGCTACTGAAAAGGGCACCAATGGCAATAATTACAATCTTGTATCATTGGGTCCAACTTGGTTACCCTGACAAGATTCATTTGCAAGTATCCGTTTCCACCTCTTCAATATCCTTACTCCGTAATATTTCGATGCTGGGTATCTGGATCACTTTTGTATTGTAATCATATGCTCTAAATTCAAAGGAATGCCTCTCCTAAAAGGCTAAAACTAATTTCAACATATTTTAAAAAGAAGTAAAAATTCAGGCTCTTTATTGTAGCGTTTTCTTTAACAATATTCATCATTTTTTACTTCAGTGATGCACCATGAACATTCTATGTTTACATGAAAGAAGATACATCTAACTATTTGGTTGATGGATTACGGGATATAATATTTGGTATCTTTGGTTGTTACCTATTATATTTTTAAACAGTAGAATGGTCGTCATGATCTAGTTCGTGTAAAAATGAAAATTTCGTCCTTGATCAACTTTAAGAAGAGAATGTGATGAGGATTTTCAACAAATTGTGAAAGATAAATTCCAATTTGGG